GGATTCGATATGTGACAGACCAATGTGCTATGGAACACTTCTACAAACTGCTGCTACTAAACACATTTGATTACATTTGGTTTGATCTGACATACAAGTCAAAATTCAACAATTCAATACCATCACTTTCTACAGGCTTAAATGCGATTTAAATGACTGAAGTGGCCTCAGCACATCGTGGCCAAACCGTCTCTTGGACTACAGGAACATATAGCATTAACCATTAACTGTCACATGGTGACACTGAGATTACTTCCTTTTCGGGGAAGGACTTTCTTATTTCAGTAAGATGACGCCAAACCTCTGCACAGACTGCAGCAGGATGGCTCTGTAATGAAAACGTGTAGGTGCTAGACTAACCTCAGTAGATGTTTCTGGTACAATTTCACTTACTTCCAATGTAGATGGAGTCTTAAAATCTGAGAAGGACAAAGCTCCAGCAACAATTACAGCACCCTAATGTTTTAAGAAATGTTGAGTATCGAGGTATTTTTGGAGGTTATGTATCAGGATTTCAAGAGTGGGACTACGCCTCCAAACACGCTCCTTCTGGTTCTCATCTATATAGTTCTGCAAGCTGTTCATTCTCGTTTACGTACTCCTCTCTTCCCTTTTCAATTCTTTAACTTCTTCACTTCTATTTAGTACATGGGGATCTGCCTTGCACGGGAGTCCTCGCCAGTCCCCTTCAAGGCCTTCCCCAAACTGCAGCTCAATTCATGTCCAAGCCATTCACCTTTACCTACTAGAACGCTGTCAAATCTAAAATGAGGATGTAAGCCGAGCTAGTGAAATGTGAAGTAAGGAATGTTGTTGGGTTACTCTCGTACAGGTAGGACAGACACAAAGCCCTATAACCAGCCATCACTCCACAGTCAGGTTCATTTGCCCCTTACACTGCATCTCATCAGCTATGCCTTCAAGTATCTTGTCCAGTCTTGTGTGTGTTTTGTGTGTGGTCGTGGTCCCGGCTGTATGGGGTGAGTTTTATTTTTAATATTTAAAATAACAAAGTGAAAATAAAATATCAAGCTAAGTCATCTTAATTCTCTATTAGTGTCTTTGCACAATATCTGTCTGCAGGATCTGTAATGCACTGCAGCTTTAACCTCTCATTCTCACTTTGCTTCAACATGTGTGTCTTATAGCTGATCACTGCCACAGTTACTGGGACACGAACGGTGTCTTCCATGATACTCAGGAATGTGGAAAGTACTGCTGTGGGGACTGCAGGACAAAATACTGCTGCAGTGACATAAAGTACAGCTTTACTGAGAAAAAACAGGAACTCTGTTTCAGAAGGTGCGCTCTTCATTTTAGCCTTTTTTCCCCTCAATGCTCCAGAAATGAGTACAAACTACAGCTTTTGTTTTGTATTTGCAGGTCTGCTCGAGTGAAAAGAAGCTATCATGCAGAGTATGTGGGAATAGGGGTTCCTGTTCCTATTCTCGTATGCACGGGTCTCATAATCTGCTGTGTGACTCGTTGCTGCTCCTGCTGCAGGACATCCAAAAAGAAAAATCCCAGTCGAGAAATAATCAGTAAGTTTGCTACAGCTGCAAGCAGCTACACTGGCATATTATCCAGAAGCATCTTGTTTGAAATTATGTTTATTCTTACAATGGAAAATGGCTGTTTGATGAGCTTTATGTGTTAGAGCTCTTTCCAATTGGGATGGTGGCTTACAGGAATTCTTGAAAGCAAGAAATAATCTGATACACAAACGCTCATGAAACTGCAAAATTGTCAGTTTTACCGTTTGTGCAGGGTACATAGTAAGAC